TTTTCGAACTTATTTGCCGACAGTGAAATTCTTAAACTGGCATGCCGTGATCTACTCAGATGACCCCACTCTTGATGAAGCTTCTCTGTTGTGACAATTCAAGCGTGCATAAGAATTCATCAGCAGCGACTTTGTCCGTGTTTTTCCATAACAAGTGGTGGACTGAACTCACGAAAAAAGTGATGGAGGAACAAATGCTGCTGCAATTTCATCGACATTTTATAGGAGAAAGGAAAAGGTATCTCTTTGTGAAGGATTTTGCAAGCTGATACCTTCCTTTTCTTAGTTTCGGAACACTTCGTTATTTTACTTTGTATTAATGTTTTGTTTTTCTTGACCTGTAAGGGAAAATGTCGAACAAATCTCAAAGCACTAAGGGGACCAAGCTACGAGTCTGCACAGATAATAATAACTTTGTATTAATGTTTTGTTTTGGTTTATGCCTTGTTAGTTAATGGTTATGTCTTAACAAATGTGTCAAATCTCTATCAGCAGACCAGTATTTGTATAGCTTCACCAGTAATCGGATCTTTGTGTTTCCGCAATGAGCATGGACAATTAACATGTATATTAACATTGGATTCATCGTAACCGTTACAATTTCCTCAATGTGGTTGGTGCATTTGCTGCATAATTTTTCACTAATCACTGTGTACAGTTGTAATCGGACAGTGTAATCGGACAGTTGGCTGTAATTGGACACGTGTAATCGGACAGTTGAAGTAACCAATCATAAATCAGCGAAATCCACCAATAATAGAATTAATCACAATAACCACAGCAACAACCACTGATCCCGAAAAAAAGGGGAATTTCCAAAATAGAGGAATTTTTTGCTTGAGACATTGTCTCTACCGGAGATATTTGTCCTAAATGTAGGTGTTCTTTTTTTGTTCGGAAATTGTAACGGTTATGATTAATTTGTAACAAGACTTCGTGTCGTCCGATTTTGTTAATCAATCGTACAATTACAGACCAAATTGGAATCCCCTTGGTCCTATTACCATTATTAATCAGCTATGCTGGCTCTAAGCAATCCCATCGGTCAAAGTCCCGTCTATTCCATCCATTCAAAATAAATAGGCCGGCAGTTCAGCTCTATCTGCACGAGTAAACCTACAGCGATAAGAGCAATTTTATAAAGAAAGGCTACGAGCCTGGAGAATCGACAAGCTACAGATGGAAGATCTCGCTGTTCGAATAAAAAAGAGAGCAGTCTAGAGCTTAGAACAGAAATTGCGAAAGCCCAATCAGAAGAATCTATGTACATCCACGCCGGAAACACTATTGAAGATTCGGTGGTATCAACACTGTAATGAGTGGGTGTTGTCACTATTAAACCATGCTGGCTCCTCAATACAAAGAAATTCTCTCAAACTCTCCAATTATATGAGAGATTACACAAATTGTATTCTCATTTTATCGATGCACGAAATTACACATGAATAAAGAGGGTTAGTTAAAGTTAACTTTGAAACTCTTTGCGGTGGCTAATTTACATTATCAACTCAGTTGATACAATCAGAATTATCTAAGTAATAACAAAATTACATCCAGTTATTAGTAATATTTAATATCTGTCACTCATATAAAGCTTCGCTAACTCTGAAACTCGCATGAGTGACCAAGAGAGAGTTTCTCCTTACTATATCGATACAATATCAAGCAGACAAGTGACGAGAATAGGAAAAATGTCAATTAGGGACTTAAAATTTGATCCAATATCAAATTCTCTGTGCTAACATCATAAGAATTGAGTAGCAGGCAGTAAAAAGAATTACAAATGAGATCTTGGGAGGTAAAGGGTTAATTCCAATAAACTGTAAATAAAAACTTAAACTCAAAATGTGGCTATTAAGGAATATTGAAGGTATCCTTTACATAGAAAACATAAATATAAACCTTTTCTTACA